GAAATCATTTTTAGAAAAATATTTTCTGGTGTTTGGTTGGAAAATGGAAAATGCTTTCAATCTGATGTTGAAGATTTATAATAATATTAGCAATCCGGATATTATTTTGATGAAAATTTTGAGAATTGAAGGTTGTTAGTCATGTAGTGTTGGTTAAATCATTGATATGAAATTAAGAGTTGAGATAATTGTCAAGGTTTTGGCGGAAAATATTGTGTCAACCAAACACCAGAACTGATTTATTTGCAGAAGAATATCTCCCCTCATACAAAACACGCCTAACATTTCATAATCAACAGAAATAATTAATGATGGGCTGAAAAATGTAATACTAAACAGAGAAGATGTTTTGAGGTTGTTAGTAGCAATTTCAGTGCTAATGAGATTTCAAGTTTATAAATGAGATAGTACTGTATCCAGCAACAAACAGAGATAAAAAAAATATTCCTAGAACAGTATAATTATTCATTTTCGTTTGACAGTATGTGACTGGAAACAACGAAATAATTAACCTTTTGGAGAGGAAGAGAGACATATGCTACGATATCCTCCTCAAGTGAACAGCTAAAGAGAGCACAATATGCTTGTCTCACAGCAACTAGATGATCAGGAGTTGATGCACAGACTATCTCTACTATCACTTATAGACGGGTTATTTCGTTACGTAACCATGAATTTAAGACCTCATTTGCTAGCCTCGCGTCTCTTTCAGGGGGATCATACGCCTAGAGGATCACTGCTTTCTACCATGCATCAAACATGAAATCCAGAGAAGTCAAAATTTTGAAATTAAGTAGTAACTAATACTACCATTCAAATTCAGAAATCTTATCCACATGTAAATCTTATTTACAGGTCTTTCTTCATTTCTGTTTTTCATTTTCTTAAATTGTTTTATGAAATTTAACTGAAATGTTTGACATCCTAAAATTGAAATCCGTAGTTTTTGAAGATTCTCCTATGGATATAATCATTGGCGGGCCCACGATTTTGTACAAGCGGGTTCAATCTTAGAAGTACATAACTTTAGTCGTAAAATAGTAGTTGTCAAGTGGGTTCAAATAAAATATTTATACAAAATTTATGCAACTTTAATCGTAATTTATACAAATACACAGTATTATGTTTTGACGAATAGGGTTAAGTTAAACCCGCTTGCCACTATGTGCGTCCGCCACTAGATATAACAGTTTAGTCTTTGAATATTTGTAGGATCAAGATTCAAACTTGCAAACTTATAGCTAGTTAATCATATGCTTATATTTAGAAGTGAATTTAGCTTTCTAGGGAAATTATATGTAAGAAAAAGCTAATCCAACTGTACAAGTGATAAATCTTTCTTCAGATTCTAATCCTCTAGTTCAGGTTATCCATGAAAAGAGACCAAAATCTGCAGATGTACTTTAAGGAATTACTTGTTGGAAAAATTGATGATGGAGAATAGGATATATCAAAGCTTGAGGCGTGTCAAGGATATTGTCCTTAAGGATATTTCGTCCACACAACAATGAGTAAAGTTAGGCATATCCCTCAGTATTCAACAAGTTCTTCTAGTTATTAAACTGGGAACAAAACTAGCAGAAAATTCAAGAAAGAAACTCAGCATATAGGAGGAAGAAGAGAATTAAGAAAGTTGTGTCCACAAGTCTCCAAAATATCTCGTATCTATAGACATTGCTCCAACGGCTAGTTAATAGCTTGTTTAACTCTATTAAATATAAAATAATTTACTAAATAATAAGTAAATATAAAAATAATATTCCATAAAAAGAAAAGTTTTTCCAAATCAAAATAATGGACATTCCCTTTTGAGATATCATTAATTTTTCCAACATTACTAAGCTCATAAGCTAATCCTTCCGCTGGCTTGCATTTTTATGTCCCAACACACTTATTATAGTCTTCTCGTCAGTTCCAAGTCTTAAAAAGGGACGTAAACAGAGAAAAAAAGAATTTAGTTTCTACTACTAATATTTTTTTACACAACCATGTCACCTAATATAGATCATTCAAATAAAAGCAACATGCAACCTGTTACAACAAATTCACGCACATAAGTATTGATATACATTGATAGTGTAAAAAGATTTTTTCATTATGCAAAAAGGAGGAAACAAAAAAGGGTATTAACAAAATACCAAAAAAATAAAATCCACAAGTGAAAAAGAAGGAAAGGGGTATACAGTACTTAGTGAGTTAGTGGAGTAATTAGTGATGTTAGGTTAAACCATGAGCAATTGAGCGGAGATATCGGCATGAATTATTCTTTCATTAGAATTTAACCTATATACATTGATAGTATAACTATAAAGATTTTAATACAATTAAAGTATTTTAATCAGTTATTTATTGTAATTTTAGGTAAATTAGGATAGCCATATTTTTTTTTTCCCGCCAAAAAATTATATCTTCGGTCCACTTTTATTTTTGCTAACTAGGTTATAGAAAAATATTTTTTAAGTTACACAAGAAAGAAGAGTGACTTTTGTATTACAAAGCTTAACTTGAATTACACATGAAATTTACCGAGCATATTTAAATCTATGATCGATTCAAATTATTTTCATATTTCTGCTTAATTACTTATTTTACTTTGTTCTGTTTGGGTTGATACAGATGGTGAGTTTACGAGATATTACTTCATAATATAGAAATACTCTAATCTACGAGAATTTATCGCATATGTACATTTGGGATAAATATATATTGTTTTANATACGAGAATTTATCGCATATGTACATTTGGGATAAATATATTCTGTTTTATTTTGCCACTATTCACATATTTCAAGTGGTTTAGGGGTTTTTAAAATTTATTTATGTGTCTATAATAAATTTTCTACCAAATCACAAAAGTCAGAATGAATATTATCCCTTCATTTTCCAAATTTATGTGGCGTTTTCTCTAAAAATACATCTATTGATTAGTAAATCCTGAAAATTATTTTCTTTAATTTGCTTCTGTATAATAGTCGGGGGAAATGTAGTGAAAAAAATAAAGGGGCAAAAGATGAAGTTCAGTGAAAAGATAACTATATGTGTGTACG